CAAAAGTATTTTTTAAATTGATTAGCCTAACACAAACTATTTCTAACCAAACATACTTTTTTTTAAAGTATTTTTGAGAAAGACATTTTTCAAAATAAACAAATTTTAGAAGCTTGGCCGAACAGGTTATTCAATCTATAATAGGTTAAGCCTATATGGTATCTGAAATTGAACGGTGTTAGTGTATTTTCTTAGGTCAATAAGTAAGAAAAAAGACAAAAGTTCAAATCATGGAATGTTGTTTTCGTAAATGTTGGACTGAAATAACACGAATTAATATAAAATAATGATTTGTTTTTGTTTTTCCTAAACAATATTGAATAAGAAGGAATTTTTACAGGGAATTTGACTAATGCAAGGAGACTTTTTTGAGGAAACAAAAAGGAAAAAAGAGGAGGCGCGGGTAGACCTTTTTGCGGACAAATCTGCCTTTCGGCTTGGCCAAAAAGGGATCGAATTGGGACCCATGGCTTAGCTAATCCAGCTTGTCGTTTTTGAATTAATATTAGTTAATTATCATCAGAAATTGGATTTTGGACTAAATCAGGGGTTACTTACCCGTTTAATCTTTGAAGAGTTCTTATTTCAAAAGATAATCTTTAGTCTAGTCATATATATGGCAAAGCCAAGCGGGGTCATTTTCACTCCATTTGAAAGATTTCCATGTTCTTTGATTCAATGGGAAAATGGATCAGCTGGTCAGTCATCAATATTCAAAACAATTAGAGTTAAATTGCCACTTGGCAGTTTGTTTTGACTTTTTGAGAGAATCAGCTGTTAGATTAGACCTGGAAGTCAAGAAGTTAAAATTAAGGTGACAATTTTTTTTTTTGATACAAAAAAGACTATACAAAGAAAATAAAAATTGAACTCAAAATTTTAAAGTAATAAACAGTTGGTGCAATACATTTACAAATCCATTTAGATGACGTTATGTCTCTGTTGTGAGAGATCATCATATTTCAATACCCTTTATGTCTTATTTATCAAAGTTTGTAGATATGATATAATGTGTGATAAGTTATGTGACTTGTTAAATTTTGATGATCTAACAAACTTAATGATAAAAATTAGATTGGGAACCTGTTACATATTCTCAAAGTGCTTAAGAACAATAAGTCTCAAGTCGGGCACAAGTTCCAACAATTAGAGTCAAAGAGATGACAGAGGGAACAGATAGACATCAGTTCCCTTGCTGACTGTACCAGTCAGCTCCTCACAGTTGTAAAGTTGTTGCAACTGTTCCTCTACACACACGAAACAGGGCAAATAGTGCAGCAGTCACTTTATGGGAATACCTTGTACAGGATAAATTGCTTGCATCATCCAAGTGACATCAATCGCATATTATCAACATGAAGCAATAGAAAAACACACACTTGAACACTTGGAAAATCATCAAGCTTTTCTCTCAAGTGTGCTGCAATCTTGCAAGTGACTTCAAGCCTTCAAGAACGAAGAGCAACAGAACAAGGACTAGTTTCCACCACTGCGTTACCATATGTCCTTAGTTGTGTTGTACCTTTGTTAGAGTGATCTGCTTGTATTTCAACTTAGTTTAGCTAGAAGCATTGTGTAGGAAAATCATTTGTAAAACTATAAACCTTGTGTTTGTGTCTTGGCTAGAGTTAGTCGAGTTGTGAGCTTTGTAATAGAGTTATTACAAAGAGGCTTATAATAGAGTTATTACAAGTGAGTGAGGGATTAAGAGTTTAATTCCTAGGTTACAATAGTTTGTAATCTGAAGTTCGCTCAGTAGTGAAGTTGAAATCCTACGAGTGTAGGTCGTGGTTTTTAATCCGGTGAGCTGAGAGTTTTCCACGTAAAACTCTGCTATGTCATTTACTTATCTTTCATTATGTGTGTTCTGTGAGAACTGATAGAGAACCAAGTTCTCTATACAGTTTGGTGGACCCTAAGCTTCTATCAGTGGCAAAAAATACTGAGTGTTCAATCCAAACATTTAAGGTAATGAATTCAGATTTTCGAGATCGACGACTTTTTTAAAAGCCCTGGATATGACATTATAGGGAAACTACCAGCTATGTCCATTTAGTAGCTTATTACAAAAATTGGCCAATTCATAAAATATTACTAATATTAGCCAATTAGCTATTTGTAGCAAAAGAATTTCAAATTTTTGCTTTCTTTTGAGTGGGTGTTATTAGAATAGATCGGGTACATCTTAAGGAGCTTGAATCTCAATTTTGGAATGATTTGGTGAAGTTTTGAGGTGGTTTGAATTAAAAATTCGAAGTAAAAACTGAACATAAAAAAAATAATATATGTATCACACTGTGTATCATTTGTGTATCACATATATATCATATTTGTATCAATTGTGTATCACATGTATATCTATGTATACTGTGTGTGAGATACATGTGTGATACATTTTTGATACATGTGTCGCAGAAGAATTTTTTGGACTCGATTTAATTACGAATTTTGCTACAAAACCAGTCCAAATCACTTCCAATCTTCCTCAAATTTTGTATATTGACTTATCTATATATTTTTGATGAATTTCAACTATACCCATTAAAAAAGTTCCTTTTTGCTCGATTTTTGGAATATTGTATTTTTTTTTATATTTCATCACCTTATTTGCTACTCATCCATGAAATTTCCTTTCCGTCGTGCATCTCATGTTGCTAATCACGCTTAAAAATATGGAAGGAGTTTTTTGCATCTGATTCTTTGAGAGAAAGAACCCTATTTATTTGGTTCTTTAATTTTTATATGTGCTTGGCTAGTTTTGATAAGTCTATGACTAATGGCTAGAAGTTGGTAAGTTGAGACTTATTTGGGATATTTTTGTGTAAGTTTCTGACATTATATCATTGGCGTAAAAAGTTGTTTTTACTGTATCGGGTTAGTGCTTATTCTTGAGGGAGAAATTCAAAAATAGTCAGCTTTACAAGTGGTCATTCAAAAATAGCTACGGTTTCAAAAGTAATCGAAATTTAGTCACTTTTTATGTAAAGATAAATCTGAACGAAAACACTTTTCAAAATCCGGAAAAATTCTCCAGTATAATATACTGGAACTTCCAGTATAATATACCGGTCCAGCATAATATACTGGAACTTTCTGCGTGTTGGAGTTCCAGCATAATATGATGGAAATTCATACACGGGTGTACTGATCTCCAGTATATTATGGTTGAAATTTCTGTGTTGCAGCAAAATAGTGACTGTTTTTCGATGACTTTGCAAACGCTGGCTATTTTTGAATAACCAGTCCGAAAACTGGCTAGCCCGTGCTATTTTTACTATTCTTGAATCTACTACTATGAAAACGTATTTCAATATGTAAACGATTGCCTTAAATGCACAGCGTATTTTTGAAACCTCAACTGTTGATGCTTAGCAATAAAAAGGAATATAGCTTAGCTTATCATACCAAGTGGTTAGACGTCAAGGAAATAGGGTAACTCATTAATTGCCAATTGGGGTCGTAGTATGAAAGGAGCTATAAACCTATTGGCTAGGTGAACCTACCCATTCATTCAATTCTTGTACTAATTCCACAAGGAAACAAAAACACATAAAAATCGTCGTCTTGATCTTAGTGCCCGGTGAATTCAAATTATTGAGGAGAATATGGTATAGTTAGCCCCCATTTATTGAATATTTGCATTTTATTCATTATAGAATGTCAAAAATGAGTTCATAAGGTTATGTAGTTACAGTACGATTTTAATTTGTTATAGAAGGAAAATTGAAAATTTAATTGGTACTTTCAAAATAAACAACGTTTTGTCTCGATTGAAATAATATTTGTCTAATTAAGTTAAATTATACTCTTCCGATCCATAATAAGTGACCTTTTGACCTTTTTATTTTGGTCCAAAATAAGTGACCTTTACATAATCAAGAAGAAATTAATTTTTTTTTCAAAATTTACCATTATTTACATATCCCAACATATCAAGGTAACAGTTAATTATGGGTAATTTAGTGAATACATCTTTTTTTCTCTAAGAGTTAATTTTTTTTAAGGGTGTGTCAGACAAAAAAGTCACTTATTATGGGCGTACTTTCTCCTGTCCACTTTATTTGGATTTTTGACTTTTTTTTCGTGGTCCACAATATTAATTTTTTCAGATATCAAGAATGAATTATCTTCTTCTTCTTTTTTCTTTTCTATTTGTCCTTGAAGTAAAGAGCCTAGGATATGTTGTATTTCCTATATACAAATTAAGGCTAAAATAGTCAATTTTATTATTAATTTATGTTAAAAGATGAATTTATACGTGTGAAAAATAACCAAAAATTAAATTAAAGTGGACCGGACAGAGTATGATATTGATTTATTTGTTGTTAAGTGATTTAAGAAGGATAAATAAATATGACTAGTAATTTATAATGATAAAATAATAAATATCTATAGTAAATACATGTCATGACTTATTTATATGACATAAATATCATATCAACTTATTGATAAATATAATATTTAAATAATTGAGGGTATTTTAGTAAACTTATCAGTTACAGTACAGTACGATACAGTCAAATCAAACAACCAAATATTATATAACAATAACAAATAATACAATCTATCCAAACATTATATTCATAAAACGATACGGTACAATACGATACGATACAATACAATATATTATAAAACGATAGGGAACAATGATCCAATCAGAGCGTTAATTAGACGTAAATTGAGTGCAAGTAAATGTTAATAGTGTCCCATCAAAGGTATTTGTACTTTCAATTTATCATTCTCTGATATAGTTAGACTTTTCTATAACATCTTTTTTATATAATAACACTTCTCTATAAACGTAAATTTTTTCGGAAATCAAATCTCATGTTGTATTATAATACTATATGTTTTCTATTTGACTGTATACGGAGGGGGACGTAGTCTCAACTGTCCACTAGTTAGTCCAGCAAAGGGGCCTTAAATTTCTTGGCTGGAAAGTTGCTACCAAAGAGTAACCATCTCACACCAAACAATACTGTTTTAATTAAACTAAACTATATATATAAACCACCTTCCCTTCACTTTCTCCTTAGATAACCCTTCTTCACCGAATACTTCGCTTTCTCCGGATATATTTATATATCTCTAAACCCTCTTCTCCGCAGGATACCAAAAGATGATATTATTAGTTTCCCTGAGAAACAAAGCTTAATATCGAGCTCTTTTTCCTAATTTTCCGACGAAAGATTCCGACTTTAATTTTGTTTGAAGCTTAATTTATCACCATGTGGGTTGTAAATATACTTTTCCTTTTGTTCTTGGTTCCTTGCTTTTTATTTCTTGTTAGATTTATCCTGTACAGAACAGCTTTGATTTTTGTTTTGCGGAAATGGGCAAATTGGGTCGATGACAGAATTCACGTTCACCAGTATCTTAAAGTTGCAGAGCTGAATGAAAATGGCCAGGACAATCAATTTTACCGGAGAGTTTCCCTTTATGTCAATTCTTTGCCATCAGTCGAAGATTCAAACTTCACCAATCTATTCTCCGGTAAAAAATCTACTGATATCATCTTATCTTTAGACGACAATCAGGTAATTGAAGACGAATTCCTCGGAGCCAGAATTTCCTGGGTAAACAAAGTTGAAAGATTTAATAATGGAGTTTGTAACCGGAGTTTCTTGCTGAGGATTAAGAAGAAAGATAAGCGCAGAATTCTCCCTCCATATTTTCAGCATATTCATACAGTCTCTGACGATATCGAACAGCGAAGAAGAGAATTAAAATTGTTCATAAACAATGGGCCGTCCGAAAATCCCATAAAGGGACGGTGGAGATCTGTTCCATTTACACATCCTGCGACTTTGGACACCATAGCTATGGACACCGACCTCAAAAACAAGGTAAAATCCGATCTTGAAACGTTTACCAAATCCCAAAATTACTATCACAAAATGGGCCGTGCTTGGAAGCGTAATTACCTTCTGTACGGTCCCTCTGGTACTGGAAAATCAAGCTTCATTGGCGCCATGGCGAATTTCCTGAACTACGATGTTTACGACGTTGATTTATCTAGGGTTTCTGATGATTCTGATCTCAAACTCCTTTTGCTACAAACCACAAGCCGATCCTTAATCGTAATCGAAGATCTGGATCGTTTGATCAACGAGAAATTAATTACCACAAGTTTTTCTGGGTTGCTTAATTTTATGGATGGTATTGTAAATTCATGTTGTGGCGATGAGAAGATTATGGTTTTTACAATGAACAGCAAAGAGCATATTGATCCAGTGATGTTAAGGCCTGGTAGAATTGATGTACACATACACTTCCCTTTATGTGATTTTAATTCTTTTAGGTCTTTAGCGAATAATTATTTGGGTGTAAAGGAGCACAAGCTGTTTCCGCAAGTGGAGGAGATTTTCCAGAGCGGCGCAACCATGAGTCCGGCTGCGATTGGCGAGTTGATGATGGTCAATCGGAGCTCCCCGAGCAGGGCTTTGAAGTCCGTCATCACGGCGTTACAGTCTAACGGAACGGAGGGAAAGATCGCAGGGAGGGGAAAACGGTTGAGTGACAGTGCATCGTCACCAGCGCTGCCGTTCCCGTCGCCGTCGCCGCAAGCGGAGGAGACAGGTGGCGTCAACTGGAAGGACTCTGTTCCTGTGGCGAAGGAGTTCCGGAAGTTGTACGGGCTGTTGAGGATGAAAAGTTGTAAGAAGCCTGATTCGTTCGATCATGACTCCGAGATGATCGAACGGTGATAGATGTTTCTCTTATTTTCTTTTCCTAATTGTTTTTCAACCTCATTTTTTCAGTTATAATTTATAAAGTCTTTGTCTTGTACGTTTTTTTTCTTTTTTGGTTTAGCGTTTGTCTAAAGATGAATATGTGGTTCAGCTCTCACAAGCTTACGAATTGTAAATGAAGATTATGATAAATTCTATTAAGTATAGTTAGAAGAAAGTTTTAGATAATGGATAAATAAGGTTAAAGTTTGCGGCTCTCCTGCTTCCCAATGTGTATCTTTCTATCGTATCAATTTCTTGAATTCTTGTAGATAGTGGAAATATCATCTAAAACTCTTCCTTTTTCTTCCTTTTTTGGGGGATAACTCTAAAGTAATTCTCCAAAGTAAAATGGCATTTGAGATTCCCTTTAGATATAACCTAAAAAACAAAAAAGGTTAAATAGGGGAAGTCTTACTCTATTCTCTGATAAGTAGATATTTTATAATACACTCCATCTCCACTATATTAAATATATATTTTTATTTTTACGTGTTCATTTCAACAAATCAAGAAAAAGATAATGTTTTTTTTGATGTTTAACCCTTCTTATTAATTATTTATTTTCCAAATCATTTCCCACGATTTTTTAAAATGCTATTATTATAAATAAAATAACAAAATGCATTTTCATTTATTTTCCTTAAAGGCAGAGGTGGATCTAGGATTTTTATAATATGGGTGCACTAAAAAAAAGAGAGAAAGAAAGTATTAACTAGGATTCAATCCGTGCTCCTCTAGGTACATAACTCAACATTCAACCAAGTGCACTATTTAGCCTCTTTTGAGCATGGATGCCAGCAGATAATATTAGAACAATTCTAAAAAATATATACATAAAATATCTAGTCTGGTAGAGAGACTAAGGGTTCACATGCCCGGTATACTTTCTTATAAATCCACCCCTACTTAAAGGACGTAATGAATTGTCAAACCACTTAAGAGGAATGATTTCGGACTCGGTTACAACCTTAATGGAATGCTTGCCCTCAATCTCGAATTCACAATAACGAAGCTCTGATGAACAAAAGTAAGAACTTTGAATAATAGAGAAAATGAGAGTATATTGCCTTGATGCGCGTGTTACAATGTGTTTAATAAATAATCAGACCTCCCTTTATATAGTAGGGGAGTCATACTCTAAATACAATTCCATAAAAGGTAAAAATCTACCATTTAACTAATCACTGGATCTCTACTGATACGTGTCGAGATTCACGCCGTGATATCCGACTGGTCACGGATATCACGGCCTTTTGTTAGTCGTGCTCGATCGTCGGATAATGTTCTCCGAAGTTTAAGGGTTCGAATCGGCCTGAAGGGCGTGACTCTGATTCCTCTGAGGGCAGGTGTTTGGCTGGGCCTCGGCTCGAGGAGATTCTTACCTCGATTCCGACGTCTCACATTTGCATTTCTGCTCCATTTACTTCATAGAGAACCGAGGCGTCCAAAAGGCTCGGTTTTACCCGTATACAGTTAGTTCCCTCACTTTTTGGAGAGTAAGTTTCCGGAAACAACGAGAAACGATATATGTACTTTGATTCCTTCTCCAATAATATGTCATTATGACCTCGTCAGTCATGTCATTATGACCTCAAACGCGTGTCAGCCACCAGTTGGCCATCTCAGAACATGAAACGTCGTGAAGCCTCTATAAATATCCCCCCTCTTTTGTTCATTTTTTACTTTAAGTTCAAGCTTCTACCCTAGAGTCTTCTACCCTTCTTCATATTCTAGAATTTTTACCTCCGTTTTTCAAGAAATTTCAGTAAGTTTCAAATTTTTACTCATTTTCTATCCAAATCGCCGCACTTGGCCCTTCATCTTTCGTCCTTTTTTCATATTTTCTCAAGCTTTTTCTAGATAACAATGGCAAAACTTTCAAATCTGTTCCCTAAAAAGTTGCTTCTTTCTCTCAACCGACCGCTGAAACCACTCCCGATGTGGTCGACATGGAGAGGTCCGCTGCTGATGTGGCTACCGATGAAACGGTTGTCGAACTTCCCTTAAAAATGTTCATTCCCGGGGGTTGTTCGGTTGCTTATGACTTTAAGGTTTAGAAACCCTCTTCGGTGCAGGGTCGGCGTGAGAAGGCACCGAGTTATATATGCTCGATCACCGAAGATGTCCTCCCTAAGGTCCGAAAGGACTGTAGCTGGGCCGGTAAGGACATAATGGTCCCCTACCCTGAGGAGGCCATTACTACCCATGTCAAGGGATATCTAAGTGTTTACACTTATTCCTTCTCACTGGGCCCGGTGGATCCGGTCATCACAGACTTCTATAAGAGGTACGAAGTATGCCTCGGTCAAATCCACCCATCGCTGTCCTCCTTCAATTCTTCGTGAACAAGATCGACTCATGTCGGCTCACCGTCGATCATTTACTCCATATGTACAGTCCCCGAATTTTTCGAGGGGGGCTGATAAAGCTCGTATGCCGGGCTAGCAAAGCCCCGTTCTAAAGCATCAATGAGGACCGGGATCAAGGCTGGCAGGGGCGCTTTGTACGGGTGAGGACCTAGGACTTGATCCCCGCCGAATTTAGGCCATTTCCCGAGAGGTGGAATGCATCACGTAAGCATAAATTTCCTTTAAATGTTGATTTTATATTCATTTTCTTTTTTCTCATTGGTATTTATGGTGGTGCAACTATGGCTCGAGTCCCAAACGTTGTCCCTCGGCTGAAGGAGTGGGTCGAGGGTATCGTCTCACAGATGCCTTACTCCAAGCGCTCGTGGTGCAAACTCTCGAAGGGACGTTGGGAGGCTCGTTTCAACGGTAAGATTTCTTTCCTGAATAAGTTACATTAGGCTTCTCCTTCTAATATCACGTTCTTATTTACTTTATTTTCTTTTCGCACGCTTGCCTAAGACCATCGAGCTAAGGCCTCCGGTCGGGGACGAGGACTTTCCTGTTGATTCCTCTATTTTGGGCAGCTTGGGGATGCAATGAGAGAAGAAGAAGAAAAAAAGAAAGGCTCTGGGCTCCCTGAGCTCAGACAAGAAAAAACAAAAGAGAAGATTGGCTCATAAGCCAAAGGAGAGCTCCAATTATCGAGCTCTCTATACAGACTCGCTCAATCGGCTCAGGGTTGAGCCCGAGGAGGATGATCTTTTTGTGGTCCGCGAACCGACCTGCCCTGAAGAGTGGGCAGCAACCGAGGAGGAGACAACAAAGGCCGATCTTCCTCAGGTTCGGGAGGTCGATGTACATACGAGGGCTGAGGCTTCTCGAGACACCGGTTCCGCTTCGCCCGACGTCATAGAAATTTCAGGGTCACCTTCATTCACCGAATCTATGTTCAAGTTTGACGAAACCTGATCGGCGAAGGAGCCATCTAACGATAGGGGCCATGGTGTGGACGACCCCCTCCGTTACTTTTTTGAAGGTGTGGACTCAACTGCCCTGGAAGACTTCTCTGGGTTGGGTGATTTGGAGGTGCCGAAGAAAGACCCATCTGTGAAGGTTGGGTGGCCGAGCCTGAGCCCGAAATTAATCAACCGGTTCCGTTCTTCGAGCATGGATCCCGGTCGAAAGCGCTGAATAATCATCATCATCCCGTAGGATGCTCGGGTTCTTTCCGCCCCCGTTAGAGTAGCTAGCTACCTCCGGTGCTTGGTAATCGAAGAAGAGCAGATAAAAATGAACGAGGTGGACACGACGTGCTTGTCAACGAAGTACAAAAAGCGCTGAACCGGGTAATGCGTCATTACATTCTTTCATCTTCGAATTTTAGTCTTTGATATCTCTCATGCCCTTTATTTATCATATTTTTGCAGGCATCGGTACTTCATCATGAAAGTTTTCTTCGGTACAAGGCTAAGGTTAACCAGCTCGAGGCCGAGGTCAAGGAGTTTGCTGAGAAGAGGGACACATATAAGCTTTTCAGTGATCAACATGAAGAAGCGGTCAAGAGTCTCCGAGCTGAGTTGGACGCAGCTTAGAAGGAGCATGTTGACCTGGTGGAACAAGTAAAGATTTTTGAAGTTAGTGATGACGAGTTAGTCATGGCGACTAACAGCCAAACCTCGCAGGTTCAACAAAAGGTTGACATGATCGACCAACTGCGAGCCGAGATGAACGAGGTCAAGGCCATGGCTGACGGGTGGAAAGGAAAAATGGACCAATTGGCTACAGAGAAGGATATTGCCCGGGAGCAGCTGGCATCGATGAAGGTCCAACTCCGAGTGGCGAAAGAGAAAGCCAAAGCATGGGCTAGACAAACCGTGGACCTCCAAGCTCAATTGGCCTCAACTGCTATTGAACGGGACACCCTTGGCCAGGAGCTCGAATCAATAAAGTCTATGTCGAAAATAACCAGGGCTAATGCTAAAGAGATGGTGGCCCAGTACAAGGTCGATGCCGAGGCAGCCCATGACTGCCTGAAAGTTACTGTTGAGTACGTGATGTGGCTGTCCCGAAGGCAGACTCTTGAGGAGGTCCATGCTTGTGGTTTCAACCTGTCAGCCAAGATTAAAGATGCATAAAGGCTCGAGGCTGAGGCCAAGAAACTGGATGACCCCGAGGATGAGTAGGGCTCTAAAGGCTTTGTTGACCTCGAGGATGAGTAGGGCTCTAAAGACTTTCTTGACCTCGAGGATGGACAAGACCCTGACGGCCTCGGTGACGAGGCGGGTTCTGGTGAAGATCGAGCTTAGGCGCATTAGGAATTTTTCTCTATTTTTGTATTTTGTTCATTTTGTTGAGTCCCTTATCATTGGCCTTTGTAAAGACTTTATTTGGAATGTATATAAGGCTTTCTTCCCTTGGCAATTATCGAGTTCCTTTTTTTTGGCTTCCTCTTTATGATTGCAAAGATTTCAAATGCCGTAACACGGAATAAAACTTAGTACTAAGGTCTTGTTCGGAGCTTCAAACAAGACAAGACTCGTTCTCGATGTGATTTTTGTTTGAAACTCGTGGGGCACGGTATGACCGGAAGCGTTCCCCGATGTGCTTATTTAGATATTTTTAAATGTATTGTCGATGGTAGCCTTTGAACCGGTTTGGAATTTTTGAAGGCCTTATGTTTTAATTACGGGCTACAGACGTCTCCGAGCCGTTTCTAGGGAGGCCATAGCCTTTTAAGTTCAGGTACTGCCTAATAGGTTTTGTACCTTCGGGCTTCGATACCCGAGTCGTTGGAACTTTCCTTGGATGACAGTCCCCGAGTGGGCGGTGGCCGTAGTCTTTTAAGTTTAGGCACTGCTTAGTAG